AGGATCTTCGCCAAGGGCTGTCGACCCCGCCAGCTCTTCACACATGACCAAGGAGGAAAAGGTTCAGCGCAGGCAGCCCCGGTGCTGATGGGGCGTGGCGATACGCCGGCTGAACAGAGGAGAAGTATCCTCCTGGCGACGGCCAATGCAAAGGCGGTCCAGGCGTTGCGCACAGCCGACCAGGTGAATGTCACTAGCGAGGACTCCAATGAGGTGGCTCTGGCGGTGGAGGCAGCTACAGCAGCGGTGGACTACGCTGCGGATGTTCAGGAGATGACGGAAAGCGGCACCACCCCAGGCCAAGCTGGCAGCAGCAGCAGTACAAGTCGCACCTCTGTCGCACGACTTGGAAAAGGCAAACCAGCCACCAATGACGAGCTGCAGGCCCACTACGCAGCGAAGGGCAAAGCGAAAGGCAGTGAAGCCTTGGAGCCTTTTGCAGATGGTTTGCATGAGGATGGCGGCGAGACTGCGGAGGAAGAGGTCTCTGAGAATGACATGGAGGTCATCCCTGAAGAGGACGAGGGCGACGATGGAGATGATGGTGGAGGTGATGATGGTGGAGCCGAAGGGCCTGCAACGGAGCCACCAACAGCTACCACAGCAACCGAGGTGGCAATCACTTCGACCACTGCGGGTGACCCAGCGAATGTTGAGGAAGAGGTCAACGCAGAGCCAGAGAACGTTGAAGAAGAGGTCAATGTGGAGCAGGACACAGAGGTTGGAAATGCGCGCCCTTCAAGGGTGGTGCGCAACGACCCGGAGCATGAGATGGCGCCGATGGTCCCAGGAAGTTTGGGGCAACAGATGCGGGCAAAGGCAAGTTTTGGCATGGCATCAGCACCGCCAGCGCAGCATGTACAGCAGGTGATGACAGCGCTGATGCAGGGCCAGACCATTCCTTTGACGTATGGACGTTGGGTCCAGTGGGATCAGACCAGTTGGGTTGGATCCATGCAGACCTACAGATATGGCGTGCTCAATGGCTTGCAGGTGGAGATGGACTTCGCGCAGGTGGGCTTGATGCTTCGCCGGCCAGTGGTTCCTGGGGTGACGCATTCGCTTGCGCTCCAAGGAAATGTGGTGGCTGTGCCGAAGAATGGGCTGACCAGAGAAAGCACAGAGGAGGAGGCTGACCCAGGGGTTCCGTTTGAGCACGGGATGGTTCAACCTGGAAAGAAACCGCCACCTCAGGCTTGGTTTCAACAACAGAACATGCAGGAGTGGATGAACCGCATGGCCAAACCACCAGCAGTTCCAGCACAACATGCAATGCCAGGTCCACCACCAGAGGGCCCACCACCTCACATGAGAGCGGGACCACCTCCAATGGGTCCACCTCCGGCCAAGGTGATGCCGAGGGCAGCTCCGAACTATGTGCCTGGACCTCTACAAGGGCAACCACCAATGGCTGCACCGATGCAGCAAAGACCACAAGGTCCAGCAGGATATGGTGGTGATCAAGGTGGCAGTCTGCAGCCACCACAACAGCAGATGATGGGAAACCCTGGTCAGAGGGTGACGTTGTCCCATATGTTGCGGATGACTGGCGAACTTCGAGCAGAACGAGGAGTTCAACCAGCCAAAGCTGCAGCAGACTTGGGTCTGCGACCGGTGTTGCGTCCGCCAACGACAACATCGAAAGCTGCAGCGAGTTCCACAAATGTTTATGTGGAGCGCCGTGAAGAGGCTGCCGATAGGGTTACGGTGAGATCCGATTCACCGGCCCTGTCAGTGACTTCGAGCTCTACGGCATGATCCAGGTGGAGTGCAATTTTGAAAAGATGCTCTTTTGAGAGCCGGGCATTTTTCCTTTGGCAGAGTCTTTACTGCCATGATGTCAGCCAAGGTGTGAGTCTTTACATGCCAAGGTTGATGGAAGGTGCGGGTCTTTACGCACCGTAGTGATTTTAAGACCAGGGAAGACTAACAACCACCTGTCTTCTCTGGCCAATCCAATTTTAGGAGCCTTGAGCCCTTCAACCAAAACCCCCTTTTATACACGACGAAGTCGTGGGGGGAGTGCAAAAGGGTTCATGTACATGACTGTGCAATTGGACAGGTGTAGTATCTGTTCATATCATGTGACAAAAGCCTATGACCGTGTAGGCTCCTTTAGGATCAAAAAGTCGCGCTGCTCTGCCTAACACATCGAAGTCACTGACAGGTGGAGCGCAATTTTGAAAAGATGCTCTTTTGAGAGCCGGGCATTTTTCCTTTGGCAGAGTCTTTACTGCCATGATGTCAGCCAAGGTGTGAGTCTTTACATGCCAAGGTTGATGGAAGGTGCGGGTCTTTACGCACCGTAGTGATTTTAAGACCAGGGAAGACTAACAACCACCTGTCTTCTCTGGCCAATCCAATTTTAGGAGCCTTGAGCCCTTCAACCAAAACCCCCTTTTATACACGACGAAGTCGTGGGGGGAGTGCAAAAGGGTTCATGTACATGACTGTGCAATTGGACAGGTGTAGTATCTGTTCATATCATGTGACAAAAGCCTATGACCGTGTAGGCTCCTTTAGGATCAAAAAGTCGCGCTGCTCTGCCTAACACACAAGGAAACTCATGGAAAATCAAGGAAACTCATGGAAAATCAAGGAAAATCATCGAAACTCATGGAAAATCAAGGAAAATCATGGAAACTCATGGAAAATCATGGAAACTCATGGAAAATCAAGGAAAATCATGGAAAATCAAGGAAAATCATGGAAAATCAAGGAAAATCATCGAAACTCATGGAAAATCAAGGAAAATCATGGAAAATCAAGGAAAATCATGGAAACTCATGGAAAATCAAGGAAAATCATGGAAAATCAAGGAAAATCAAGGAAAATCATGGAAACTCATGGAAAATCAAGGAAAATCAAGGAAAATCATGGAAAATCAAGGAAAATCATGGAAAATCAAGGAAAATCATGGAAACTCATGGAAAATCAAGGAACATCTATCTTGGGACATCTATGGTAGCATTTGTTGTTCAATGATCTGCTTGGATCGATCGATGGGAAAATATGGGAAAATCATGAAAGATCTGCAGGAAACCATTGCTGCAATGCCAGGAAATTTGCAACTTTCCTGCATATTTTTCCTGCAACCAAGTATGGAAGTTTCATCCCCCAACATGAGTGTCCCCTTAGAAAACAGATGTTACTCTCTGGTAATTTAACAGTTTGCTATTGAACATTGCGCATTTATAGTTGATTTACCTACTAAAAATGGTGATGTTCCATAGTTTTTTGTGAGTTTACCAAAGGGAATTTCAATCAAACAACCATTGCTACAAACGGCAACATCTTCCATACATCCAGTTCTGATTATCTCTACTAGATCTTCCTGTTAGATATGGCCTTGTTTGAGTGTGTCTGAAAATAGGTTATCCCCAAATCTACACATACAATCTGAAAATAGGTTCTCCCCAAATCTACACATACAATCTGAAAATAGGTTATCCCCAAATCTACACATACAATCTGAAAATAGGTTATCCCCAAATCTATACATAAAATCTGAAAATAGGTTATCCCCAAATCTATACATACAATCTGAAAATAGGTTATCCCCAAATCTATACATAAAATCTGAAAATAGGTTATCCCCAAATCTACACATACAATCTGAAAATAGGTTATCCCCAAATCTATACATACAATCTGAAAATAGGTTATCCCCAAATCTACACATACAATCTGAAAATAGGTTATCCCCAAATCTACACATACAATCTGAAAATAGGTTATCCCCAAATCTAGACATAAAATCTGAAAATAGGTTATCCCCAAATCTATACATACAATCTGAAAATAGGTTATCCCCAAATCTACACATACAATCTGAAAATAGGTTATCCCCAAATCTACACATACAATCTGAAAATAGGTTATCCCCAAATCTATACATAAAATCTGAAAATAGGTTATCCCCAAATCTATACATACAATCTGAAAATAGGTTATCCCCAAATCTATACATACAATCTGAAAATAGGTTATCCCCAAATCTATACATAGAATCTGAAAATAGGTTATCCCCAAATCTATACATACAATCTGAAAATAGGTTATCCCCAAATTTATACATACAAACTGAAAATAGGTTATCCCAAAATCTACACATACAATCTGAAAATAGGTTATCCCCAAATCTACACATACAATCTGAAAATAGGTTATCCCCAAATCTATACATACAATCTGAAAATAGGTTATCCCCAAATCTATACAAAAATCTGAAAATAGGTTATCCCGAAATCTATACATAGAATCTGAAAATAGGTTATCCCCAAATCTATACATACAATCTGAAAATAGGTTATCCCCAAATCTATACATACAATCTGAAAATAGGTTATCCCCAAATCTATACATACAATCTGAAAATAGGTTATCCCCAAATCTACACATACAATCTGAAAATAGGTTATCCCCAAATCTATACATAGAATCTGAAAATAGGTTATCCCCAAATCTATACATACAATCTGAAAATAGGTTATCCCCAAATTTATACATACAATCTGAAAATAGGTTATCCCAAAATCTATACATAGAATCTGAAAATAGGTTATCCCCAAATCTACACATACAATCTGAAAATAGGTTATCCCCAAATCTATACATACAATCTGAAAATAGGTTATCCCCAAATCTATACATAAAATCTGAAAATAGGTTATCCCGAAATCTATACATAGAATCTGAAAATAGGTTATCCCCAAATCTATACATACAATCTGAAAATAGGTTATCCCCAAATTTATACATACAATCTGAAAATAGGTTATCCCCAAATCTATACATACAATCTGAAAATAGGTTATCCCCAAATCTACACATACAATCTGAAAATAGGTTATCCCCAAATCTATACATACAATCTGAAAATAGGTTATCCCCAGATCTATATAAAAACATATAAAAACCTAATTGTCCCTACGTTTTACTGGTGATTTTCTGTGATTTTCTGGGTGAATCCCACATTTTCTGACCAAAAATACGCCGGCCTTGCCACTGTCCGCATCTTTGGGAAATTTGGCCTGGCAGCCATGGGATGCATCCGAGAGGTTTTGGAGAGGTGATAAAACCTGATAACACAGAGATACACATTGAATACACAATGGATATTGTACATGGATGTAAGATGGATATATATATATATGATATTACTATATAGATATATATATATATTATATTATATTATATTATATTATATATATATACCTATGAATCATATACATAATGATACATAATGTATGAATCAGAAAAATATCGAAATTCATCTATGGAATTGTAGACATTGTTGATAACTTTGACTGTGATGAGAATCCTCGAGGATCAGCACACTCCCGATCAAATGCACCCAATATTGCAATTTTATTTTCCACATTTCCATGGAACATCTTTCCTGCCATCACCCAACTTCAGTTTTATCTCATTTCTTAATTTATTGTTACAGTTTTCTTGCGCTATATCCCTTGGCTTCATTGGCTATGTCACAGGGACTTATTTTTTCCCGTGAGACCGTGAGACCTGGTGACCACCCAGCTGCACAAACTCCGGCCTCCTCCGCGTACTGCGTGGAGAGCTCCTTCAACATCTGCAGCAACGCGGCATCGGCCGCCACGGCCTTGTCGCACTGCTGCTTCACATCAATCGCCTAACGGGGCATCCGGGATGAGCTGGTGATTCAACTGACTTCAACATCTATGGGCGTTAAACCCAAAACATGGTGCTTTCTAAAGATGTTGATGCACTCCAAAGTGGTCGGAGAGAAGGGTTGGTCTGAACATGTTTCAACCCTTCTACTATCTACAATTTGGGTGGACAATGCATTGCACTTGGAAGAGAACTTGTGGTAAGCTAACCCGCTAACGATAAAAACTTCATTTTCATCACCATTTTCGTTGATGGTGCGATCCCCATGGAATCCATATGGTTCCTATGCCATTGTTGATCTCCAAATATTCCCCATGATCTTCTCATTATACCATCTGGTTATTTAACATAGCCATGGAAAATCACCATTTTTAATAGGTAAACCATCTATAAATGGGCCATTTTCCATGGCTATGTTAAATAACCAGAGGGTACTACCATTGCCAATGCTGTTGGAAAAACATATCATGTTTCATGGCTAAATCCCTGTGAGCTCCCATCTCAAATAGCTGAACTCTGGCCAGCGATCAGCGATGGTTTCCCCTTTCTATAACCATCAATGGCTAAAAAAACACATACAGCTAATATAACATCATGAAAATTAGCTGCTTATCCTGGTTAACGTACTATTATACAATCGCTGAATTAAAAATATAACCATGTGGCCTATCCCAATCTTATATATATATCCATATATCATCATATATCCTAACAAAAAGTAGCTAAATCACAATATATCCTAATTTTATCTAATTTTCATAGATACTATTAGCCTTAGCTATAGATCTTATCTCCCATAAAACCAGGAGTCCGTGACACCGGGGCCTCCTGCGCCGGGCTGCCGCTGTCCAGCAAGGAGCGCGCTGCCCAGGCCTGGTCCGCACGCTCCAGGGCCTTGTCGTAGCCCGCCTTGGCGTACCTGGGAACGCCACGGATGGGAGATGATATATCTACTACATATATGTATAAATGTACGATATATCTACTATATACATATATATTGTATAGATTGTATAGTATATAATAAGTCTACCGTATATCTATATGCTTTGTATACATATGATAATATATATATATATATATATACTCGTTATCACTTGGAAAGATTATTATATATACCAAATATGTATGTATGTATATATATATATATCTATATGTATACACTGTACACATAATATATATATATATATACATATCATATAACCAAAACACATGGTAACTCAACCAACATATATACATCAAACATCAATAAACCATCATTTGTGAAGGCTGACTTGACTTAACCAACATGTGCGGTGGTAAAATATGGACTTAGTATATGTATAGTATGACGTCCATAACTTGCAACAACCCCCAAACCAGGTGCAATATTTTTTTGGGGATCATGCCCCCTACTAATCATCATCTATGTTGCAGCTAGATCCAGGTTCATGGTGTGGTCGACAAAAAAGTCGATGTGTGGTATCTATAGATTGTTCCACGACATGATGCACTTATTCACACCACTATATATATATACATATATATATATACATATATATATATACTTATATATATATATTATAAAATTATGTATCTTATACATCTGATGTTGTACATCTGGGGTTTGGACATCATCAATATATGACTTATGCAACTTAGATGGGGTATGGGGGACTTGGGAGGGGGTGTGGATAGAAGGAGTATCTACTACGAGTACGTACAATTATCTCTATACCTAGGAGATATTATTCAGGTGTACCGACATGTCAATGTGAACACAGTACGACACGGATATTGTTCAGATCAAGATATGAATACAGTAGGATAGGGCATAATTTTCAGATACATCAAGTCGAGATGTGAACGTTAATAAATATAAATATATATATAGCACAAAAAAAGGAAAATTAAGAGATCTCTTGAAAAAAAACAAAACATCTTCCCTATCTATAGAAACCTTCCTAGAAACCCTGATTTAGTATTGGATCTGTTCAATAAATGGGGGCCCATCCTGCCATCCGGGGGGTGGTATTCAGTATATTAATCTATACTAATCCGATAGAATAGTGGTAAACTCTGCATCTTTTTGCCCTTCGAAAACTCCAAGCACTGAGCTCCCGGCTCAGCAGCCAAGGCAAGACCCCGCTGCGTATGTCTTTTCAACCAGTTGGAAATGACCTGCTCAGGAAAAGACTGGTGATGTAAAGGATCAATCATGGGATATATTTAATGGGATTTTTGTTAGGTTAATAATCGGTTGGTGACATATAGGTGATAGATATATAGCTTAAGAATCAGATAATCATGGGATATAACAAACTAACTATCATATATAATTAAATAATATATATATATATATGTATGGTGATTTCATGGTGATTCTTCTGGTGTCTTGATGATGATTCTTCATGGTGGCTTTACAAAAAGGGGCCACGCTTATTTTATGGGGATATCATGAGATGTAACATATGAATTACTATGCATGAATATATCTATAAAATTCTATAAACTATTCTGATATATAGTTAATCACTATGAATATATCTAATTACTATGAATTACTATTCTATAGTTAATTACTATTCTGATATATATATATATATTCTGGAATTAACTGAAAAAGGTGGAGCATGGTGGAACCATGTCATTTTCTTTGGGATAATGATCAACCATCCAACATCATCATGAGGGTATAGGTCATAATGGGCATCTTCTATGATTTTCCATGAAATTTCCCTCCCAGACTTGGTTCAAGGGGAATCTGCGGGACATCCTCTGGTTGGAAAAACACCTTATTTACACCATTGCAAACCTCTGAGTTGGCTTCAGGAACCAACATACCTTTCACAAAATCCCATAAACAATGCTGATCAAAAAATGATTATATGATCAAATCAAAACTAAAAATCATCTAAGAACCAACACACACATCAGTTTCCTGGTTGGTGGTTTTAAACCCTCTGAAGAATATGAAAGTCAGTTGGGATGATTATTCCCAATATATGGAAAGTCATAAAAGTCATGTTCCAATAACCACCAACCAGATTAACTAACTATAGATTTTCCATAGCTTTTCCATAGATTTTCCATTTTTTTAGTTGATCAACACATCATTACCATATATGGTCCATCTATCCAGTTACCTAAGCTTTCCAAAACTCCCACATCTGAAAGGCCTCGCCAGGCGCCAGGTCTCGTTCATCCAACCACCCGTTCCAGGCGTTCTTGGCCCTTCGCTGCGTCTGCGGAGTACCTGGATGCAATTCCGGCAGGACCCGGCGGCCAACCTTCAAAAAGATGCAGGACATGGTGAAAACATGGTTACCCTCTGGTGAACTAACATAGCAATTGAAAATGGCCATTTATAGTGGATTTTCCCATTAAAAATGGTGATTTTCCATTGCTATGTTAGTTCACCAGAGGGTAAAAACCATGGTAAAAACACTATATAAGATAGATGGGAACTAGATGAAAGTGGTAAAATCCATGTAAAATCCATGTAAAATCCATGTAATTCATCTCAACATCTGCTTTAATAGAATTGAAGCCACCAGTACCAAGCAAATAATGGGGGGGGTACATCATCCGTTTGAAGCTTCACCCTTCGATGGTACATGTTACATGTCATCAATGGTTGAAGGTAAAATCGTCAACCTTATCGTGGTTTGTCAAAGTCTGCAACACCATTCTGCTCAAATATCTTTACACTCAATACGGCCCTCAAGTGAATATGTGGCAAATCATATCATAAACAATGGTTGCATCAATGGTGGAGCCGTTATATACCCTCTGGTAAACTAACAAAGCTATGGAAAATCACTATTTTTAATTGGTAAATTATATCACTATATATAAATGGCCATTTTCAATAGCGATGTTAGTTTACCAGAGGGTATGAGCCATTAATCCAGAGTCGATTCATCACGGGCCCCACAGTCAGCAACCAAGTTGCACATCTGGCTGCAGCGACTAATCGCTTGCGATCGAGGTGGTGGTCATTGGCATAACTGGGAACCGTTGGTTTGGCAGGTCCTTTTACCTGAAGTTTTCGGACACTAACAAAGTGAACCAAAATTCAAACATCTTCGGAGGTTCCTAAAGAAGTATACCGAATTTGGCCAACAACTGTAGCAGTGGGCTTTCCATGGAAAGCCCCTTTGGCACTTTGGGAATTCCAAGCCGGGCCCGGTTTGTTGTTGAATCCCTTGGAAACACTTTGCAAATCCATTGGATAACACCGTGGATATTGTTGTTCATCAATCCATCAATCAACGATTTGGATATAAGTCTTCAAGTCCATGGGATGACAAAGTCAACCAGCTTTGAGCTGACGTTTTGGTCAGTGGCTGACACAACGCCGCGTGCACGGCTTTTCACCGGCTTGGACAGCGAAAATCAAGGGAGGACATCGATCCATTTGGGGAGTCTGTGAACATCATGGTGTGTCTGAAAAGGAGTATACCCCAAAGAAGTGATTTTTTTTTTCATGAGGCAGATGAAAATTCAAAAAAATGTGTGCAGCATAGTTTCAGACAAACCGACATGAACAGCACGTGCTGTACTTACCCAACACCGTTTGAGGTGAACTGACATCTTTACATCCACACACTCTCCTGCTGTGGCAAGGAATGCAACCTCCAAAGGGTTGGCAAGGATTCTTGTCGTTGACATCTTTAGAGAAGCTGAATTGCAAAACAGAATATGACCTATGACTGAGTAATGCAGACACTCTAGGTCCCAGGTATTTCTCGACTCCATTCGAATACTATGTCCTTGTGACCGTGCAGGGGCTTAAAAGCAACACATCCATCATCATTGATAGAACCAAGGAACCCCTAGTCTTGAGATCGGGAAAAAGAACAGGGACTGTGGAGAATTTGTGCGGATCTTGCCTAAACTTGGAACCCCTGAAACAATCCCAACTCATCCCAACCCATTTGTTTCCCATCTACTCAGCAAATGACTGCCGTATCCCAATCATTGCAGCTGTATTTCAATGTAAACGCGCTTCTGGTTTGCAATCTCCCAATTCTTCATTTTCGAATTAAACCATTGGCCAATCATATTCAACTACTCATACCCTCTGGTTATTTAACATAGCTATGGAAAATGGATGAACATGGACCATGTATTGATGATTTATGATGATTTACATCTTAAATCTGGTGTTTTTCCATAGCTACGTTCAATAAAAAGAGGCAAATTTTGGTTGCTAGTTCCCTTCCAGTACTTTGGCCTGGGAATGGAAAGATCTCTGCCACACTATCATGGGTATTCAGCCCCCCAGTTGGGTCCCAATATATAGATTTCTAAGATTCCGCCCTTGCCAAACATGAAAGGGTCACCTTAGGGAAGTGATCCTGGTTGAAAACATACCAACCATAGTGGGTTCCCCTGCCACACTCGCAGCTTCCGACATTTTCTCCACGCGACAGTGAACCGCGAGGATTTTCACGCAAGAGACGCTGACTGCAAGAAGCCATGATGCAGCTTGCTGGGATGTGCCCAGTGGATACATTGCTAATACTTGGTGGTGCAATTGGGGTTATTACTGTAGTGGGTAGAACATGGTCGAACCATGGATTTTAACCATCATAGGTTGGGACATAACCCCAAGAACCATCTACAACAACGGTTATATAACCACTTATAACTGGAACTGCACCCCCAAGTAGTATCGGACAATGAATAAATATCTAGGGTTTATCTAGATTTATCATCTAAAAGAATCAAACCCAGTTGGCATATGGTTGCCCCAGTTATCTTGATAACCCTTGTTTATCCTTGTTTATTATTGTTTTTCCCTGAAAAAAAAGATAAATTGTTTGGGTGTCCTATTTTCAGACACACCAATATTATGTAATATGATTGTAGTTTGTACGCATTCCAATCTTTCCAGATCATTCCAGTACCACTAGGTACACTTAAAGTTGCCGTTTTGAATGTTGAACATCATCATTTGGCCATTTTCCTCTGTAGACTTTCCGCTGGTTCAAAGGTTCAAAGTTTCATCATATCTACCCATATCAAAAGATGATAGCTGTCATGACTTCCCATGCTGAGCGTTTTATCCTGTGCAGCGACAGGCAGCCCGTTTTATCCGTTGGGTGCTGCGGGCTGCAGAATTCTTGTGCTGGTTGGTGGATCCCGCATGCGGCAGAGAAACATGCACAGGATTACAGAATGATCATCTCAGAAATTAGATAGCTCTAGAATGCTCTAGATACGATGCACCTATATATAAAAAAAAGAAACTATATAAACGAAAATATGTAATCCTCTCAGAATTCCACAATGCAACTTGCAACTGGTGACCATCTCAATATGTATATAGATGGGTACAGCAATCACCCCGTCAAAACATTTGATAAACTAACCAACATATACACATATTCAACTATTTAGACATAGACATGCGGGAAGAATTGTTAAGAATCTGACCACCAACCAGTGAATGACATTTTGACTATGCACACACCGAATCGAACGAACGGTTTTCATCGCCCTTCCAGGCAGTCAATGTCCAAGATTGCAGCCGGGTTTACTGCTGGATGATTTTCGAGATAAAACATAGGGATAAGCCTGTCAAGCCTGATGATGTTTTATAAATTGGAATATAACACAATATAACCATACAATAATCACCAGGATTCGTTAGAGCATGTTAAATCCAAATTGATTAATTAGGCATCTTAGTAATATCACTTGAAGATAGAAGCAACAAACATGATGAAACATGATGATGTATGCCGCTTCATGCCTAGTCCCTGAGCACCTGACACCCAAATCAGCCCAAATCCACGGAATCTGTAAATGGCCCTGCTGTCAATGTGAAGTGTGTTGGACAACGACTCCCGTCATGCTATGCAGTAACTGACGTTCGCTGGTGACCATCAAGAGTTCAGCAAGTGGGGCAATCCATAGAATCTGCGTTGAAACATGGACGGCACCAACATATGTTCCTGTCCACAGCAAGCTTTAAACAGAATGCTAGCATGTGCATTACCCTCTGGTAATTTAACATAGCTATTGAAAATGGCCATTTATAGTGAGTTTTCCCATTAAAAAACGGTGATTTTCCATAGTTATGTTAAATTACCAGAGGGTAGTTTTTGAGAGCCATGGACCATGATCTTCTGACTCGACCGCACCAGAAAAACTAACTTTGGCAGTCAAGAATCAGCCATGAGATGAAACAGTATCAGTCCAGGCAAACCAGGATATTTGAGACCATGTCAAACACATTGCTTCCCATATACCTATGATAACATTGTTTGTCGTTGTTTTGCCAAGGCCGGCTTTTTAGCCCTGTGGTTGAATGCTTGGTTTTATGTCGAAGGTTTGGATTTGTCATTCTGTTCTGATGTCCTGGTGTTCCCAATATTTTGACACGAAGAAAGTACTCCTTTATTTGTTCAAGCCTGGGTCGTAAAGTCCAGTTTTCGCAGTTTACAATAAGCATTTCTTGGTTTGTCCCATAGTAAACAATACAGCTTGGTTGAACATTTTCCATCTGTCTACATTGACACTACTGGAAATAGCTCATTCTGCCCCAATTGCACGGCCACTTCTAGTCCAGGAGCTGGCAAAAGGGCAACTTTCACCAAGTTCTGCTGAGTCTGGGAGTATTGGGTGTGCCATATCTATTCACAGATCATCCATGATGTTAAATAAAATGCTTGTGTATCATCCGCTATTGACAAGTAGACAGTGAGACTTTACACATTAGAGTGTTGACCTACCTGAAGAAATTCAAAACCTTGAATAAATACAAAGAAATCCGAGCAACATGATCATTTGCACATGCATATTATAATCAGTCAACCCAAAACATCCCAAAGCAATAGATATACATGGATATAAAATATATGTATGATATGCTATATTATGTGACTGTCTGGGGCTGGCTGGTTGGTACAAGCTGCAGCTCCTAGGAACTCAACACACCGCCGAAGATCATCAGAGCGAAAATGCCGCCCGCAGCCAACCACAACCTGTCATGGCGACGATAGGCTGCACAGAAAGACGCAAACAGTTTGTCCTTAAAGTTCTACCAACAATTCGAGGTGAAACCGAAACCTAATCATAACATGAAAATACAACTAGGATCAACTAGGTAGCCATCAAGAAGTATTAACTAAAACCTATTAAACCTAAAATTGGTTGCCCAACACTGAAGTGAAACCACACCTACAACAACCTGTCGCTTGTACCTTCGCTTCAACTTCGCGGCCATGTTGTACTTGTCGGTGTACTCAATCTCCTGCCCATTTCATTCGATGCACCAACTGGATGGAACAAAGAAACATCAACAAAATCCAGCCACATCATCCAGCCACAACATGTTGAAAACCCCTATTTCCCCAAGATGTCCACCATTTATCCATGTATCCACCATGTATCCACCATGTTTTCCCCAAGATGTCCACCATATCTTCCCATCCCATGGCATCTCCCCGTGGCCCCCCACGGCACCACCACGGCACCTCTCGTCCGCGTTCCACGTCCGCGGCGGCCCGCGCCATGTGCGACTCCAAGGAATCGAAGATCGAGGCCTGGTCCTCCGCGGCCGACGCCTGGCGGTTCTCTCGGCTGGTGGTTTGGATGTTGGATGTTTTTGTGACCCAGATGCTCCATGGTGCTGGAATATTTACCTACATTTACCCCAAAAATGACACAGTTTTGTAGGTAAATATTCCATACATGGAGCATCTGGGTGATAGAAACTATGAGTCAACTATGAGTGATTAATAACCATTCATAGTGATTAATAAATAGTGATTCATAGTGATTAATAGTGATTTTTAAGCGACCAAGAATGGATCATAATAGATATCTACACATAGATATTCATAATTCATAGTACAATTTTCTGAAATAAAGTATGAATATCTTCACTAGATAATATGTATATGTTATTAAATATAATAAATATAATATGTATAATAATAATATCATATTAATGTAATATATCTATAATAACTAGATAATAGCAAGAATAGATAATAATTAATAGATATAATAATATCTTATAACTAATAGAGAATCATATCTCTTTATAATAATAAATAGCTAATAATGTTACACCAAACTAGTAATAAATAATCAAAGGAAGTCGGGAAGCAATCTTCCAGAGTTACGGATGACTTAATACGTTGATAGATAATAGCTATAAATGTGTACACCACAAATGAACATGTTATTGTTCTACAGAAATTATAATGAGATTGATAATGCTAATATAAAACAAACACATGATAATGAAAATGTAACACTATATGTTGTTTCTATACATTATTGTTGCACACATGTCTAACAAGGTGGCATGATGGAGGATGAGAGGGATACACATAGAGAAAGCAAGGTGGATGTCAACGATGGCCGTTCCTCATTCAACTCACCTGTCTTAGAGTGTGAACCCTTATTGATGCAGATTGCTTGGTAAAGGTCGGTCCGGTGCTTGAGGTCAGAAGGCTAGCAACCGTACGTCAAACACCTTGTCGCTTGTTCCATAAACGCGGTGTAGAGAATGACATAGGATTGAAACATATATTGAAAATTATTGAAACATATTGAACCTTGCAGATGTGTTTTGATACACTTGTGAAGCACCAAGGATTGCATTTTTTCATTGCTACTAAGTCGAGTTACCGTCTGGGGCCAATGATCCCAGATACATTTCAACCGAGGCACCAGGTCAGTGTAAATGCGCTGAAGACAGAGCATGTCCTCATAGCCGGAGGAAATTCTGGGTGTGTTCGGAGACTCCCATAGTTATCATAGGTGACAGGATCCAGTACAACATTATATATATATTAATGTAATTATATATATATATATTATAAATTAATATAAATTTTTGAAATAGTATGAACATGTATGCAGATGCGGGCCTTAGATTTACCTTGGATTCAGGTCTCAAACATGTCACCGCAGTATACACTCTAACCATCTCTAAGCGGTGAGTCACTGGTGGTCGGTCATCTCCTTACAAGACCCGGGTTAAAAAAGGGAGGTCCCAAGACGAGGCAAACAAGCGAAAATGGTTGGGGGTGAAGTTGGGGTTAGTAATGGATATATAGTAAAAACCTCCATAAGATGGGATATAAACCGTCGTAATGCTACAATTATCGGTTATGTAAACCACTCATAATTGAGTGGCAACCCAAAGTAGTTGAACTTAAACCAAGTCTTTGACCGCCCGATTTGACGGCTTGGTCGGTCCTCATCCACTTTTCTCAACGTCTGCACTTTGTCATTCTGCAGAGCTGCCTCGCGTGTTAGGGCCGGGGCGGGGACCCATTGGTCAATCCGCAAAACCAGTGGATTTTTCAAGGGGGAACCCGATAATGGATACCTATGGATACCCTATGACCCTATGGTACCTATGGATCTCATTGGCTACAAAATCAGCGTCATTTTCAAATCAAACACACTCTTCTGGCAACGGAAAGTGAGAAAGGTCGTTGGGATCAGACTGGGTTCGAATTCTAAAACAACACTTCTATGGCACAACTCCCCATGATGTTTCTTAAAATCATGAAACAACCACATCACAATTTTCAACGAACCACTTTGGCTTCACCGTTTCGATGGCTTGACCCACGCTGCCTCCATCTGCTCGTGACCAGAGGCACTCAGCAAGGGCTTCTGGTCGTTGCCGCCAGCCACATCTGCTGCTGCAATGCCTGTGGCCTGCGCGGTGCATTTTTGAGCGGCTGGGTGACGGTGGCTGGGTGCTTTTTGAATGAGGTTTTGGACATTGTTTGTTTGCATCATGTGTTCCAACATGATCAAACTGTTTGTTGGTTCTAGTCCTTTGCTAACTGTTCGCTGGTTCTAGCTCTATCGTGTTTCATCAACAGCTTTTGTTTGGTTTGTGTTTCTATTCTATTCCATCATCTTGGGATGTTTCTGGGGGTGAAATATCCAACGCAACCCCACCACCCCAGGGTCAGAACATCTCAAACTCAACATTTATCACGCTGATCCTTCGTCCAAACATAGGGTACACACATTTACCCCCATAATCCAATGGGGAACCATCATCAGTCGAAGACATATGGCATTTTTGTGGTATCATGGTGTCTCCCATGAATAAAGACCCACCTACGAAAAATATCGTTTGTTAGATTTCTCAGACACATGCCAGAGTCCCCATTTTTATCATCTCCGCCGGCAGTTCCCGTGGAATGCCATAGAGGTGCCACTTTGGCTGGGGAAATCCCCGGTGGATTTCCCATGGTTTGATCACCAGTACCGACCTACTGTATGTTGCTGGGAAAAGGACATCTAAAAAAATGACTCCCATCTTGTTTGTCCGATTGTGCATAGCGTTTTTGTTGGCTAATTTCCACTGATTCAATGGGCAGATACATCCCTAGTCCCTGTATATCCAGGTCGTGTACTGTTTCAATCGTGGTAAAACAAAAATTCTTAAGGGGTGAATCAACCATAAATGGGCCATCTATACCATAGCCATGTTAAATTACCGGAGCGAGTGTATCAAATTGTCGAATCTACCAAAGAGTATCCACTATTCAATTGCTTTTCCACCTCTCTGGGGATTCCTATGATTATTCCGGATGAATTTTAATAATTCACTAGCCTGAAAATAGCCGAAAGGATGATTACCCGCAATCTCATCATCATTCCAGTGAGGTCACGATCATTCATCCATATATATATATATATACATATTATATCCCATATATATATATATATCCATCCCATAAATATCCATATATATCCATATATATATATCCTTATATATATATATCCATATAATTATCCCATAAATCTCCCCATAAAACGGTGCGTCATTTTCTTCAGCACCTCTAGGATGCCACCGCTGCGACGTCGCTCTTCCGCGTTGAATCTCCTCACAACGTCCTGTGGGGGAAGGGCAGGGGAATATCTAGGAATGTATAATTATATGGGGATGGGTCAAAACCCTGGTACCTAGTGAACCCCAAAATAGCTGGTAAATGGATGTTCATCCCACTAAAAATGAATCTATAGGTATTGACCCATACCCATATATATATATATATTACGGATAAATTATATCAAATAGGTTCATCATTATGATTATGTAATTAACAATATGGAAATGTATAATGAACCTATCTGATGATCCATTTAATCCATTTCTTTCTATTTCTGTATAAATAGATGCATGCATATATGTGTATGTATGTATAATTATGTATATATTGCAATATGCGTGTCCGTGATTACAACCAGCAACGAAGCGGCCATTTTGGAACATATGTTTGATATATCATATCACGGCAACAACAGCATGCATCATGTAAAATACCAGCTATGGAAAATCACCATCTTTATGAAGTAAATCATCAGAATTGGTCATGTTCCATAGCTATGTTAAATGACCAAATGGTAAAATGCATTGAGAATTTTGGTGCATTTCATGGGCAATCCTATGGCAGACCTACAGGTCACCACGGTTTTTGCACGCCCTTCAACCGCGCCCTGGGCTAAACTTAAAAAATGCGGAAACCTATGGGTTTCCCTTGGAAAATGATCCAAGAAAATTGCTCCTCCAAGACTCGGGCGGTGATGGCCAGGTTGTCTGAGAGTTTTTGATACCTGGCGGCTCGTGACAGAGACCAAGTGGTGGACGGATGTCTCAGGTTTTATTCCCCAAGTGGTGGAGTTTCCCATTGAAAAAAGGTTCCAAATCACCGACTCAGCAGTGGTATGTCTTTCTAAGTGGATGTTTTTTTCAATCCTTATAGGCATGGTGTTGAATAGCTGGGGAAGTATCTAAAATATAGTATATACTAAATTGTACATATTACATAATATGGTATATAATATCCATAATATTCCATAATATCAATTATGAATCCGTACCAGGACTAAACATATGAAACTTTTAGAATGATCTTCGAAACATTTCGACACAACATGGACCCTCTCTAGCAGCAAAAACATGCCAAGCAAACATCATCCTTCGGTTGTTTCGCTCAGCCGTGTTCTGAGCTTGGTGTTGATGTTCTCTTATTCGTGCCAAGATCGTCTTGGTCTCGGACGCCTTGCTGTTGAATCCAAAGATGGCAATAGGAAATCACCAATGGATAGCATTTGTATATCATGATAATCATCTCAGGGGAGAAATCAGTGGTGATGATAGATTATATACATTATATAATATAAATTATATAGACTATGTTATATATTATATATCTATATAGATTGATTGGATTGATGAGACTGCCGACTGCCTCATGGGTGTGAAAAGAAGGCTAAAGCGGCCTTCTAGCGGAAAGCAGGACATCGACTAAATAATATTAATCTGATGAAATCTCATGAAATCTGTGGATATGTCATGAATTTTCATGATATTTACAGAGCTTTTCGTTGCACCTTGGTAGCCCACTGTTTTCTTCATCGATGTTGCCCCATTCAAAAGCTGATATTTGCTGATGAAGTCAGCGGCCTGACGGACAGCATCATCCACCATCTTTCGGCAATGCTGAAAGTCCTTCTCTGCCTGACTCGGGAGACAATTGGGATGCCGACCATGTAAAACGACCACGGTTGACCACTAGGAATGACCAAGCATTGACCATCATTTACCGAACATACAATATCAAACAATATCAACATCCTCATGCCATTGGTCAAGATTCGTTGGATACCACGGACAAGTCAGCAATCCACATGTTTATGACAGGAAGGTGTGGGTTTAAAGGTGCTTCACCCAAGACAATCACAGCAACATACAGTAGACTACTTTTGTAAAGTTCTGTATGGTCAGAATGCACAATGAAGTGCTCCAAGCCCAAATGAAGAAGTGTTGGTGACTTATATAGGGGTCTGACAGCAAATCATCTACCAAATTTAGGATTCGCTGCGGTTAAACCAACATTTCACTGCACAGGCTTGGAAGAGGGAGAATGACGCTTCGAGGATAGCTGGTGCTTGAGCTAACCAGGAATAGTTTATCTTGGTGAATAGTCAAGAATCAAGCTTTACAATTCAAAATGGAACGTATCATTACGCAACAGCTAGTGGGTTTGTCTTTAAAAAGATCGGGTAGCCCCCAGATCCCTTGGTCTAGCATCACTTCACCCAATCAAAATTGCCAGAATGTTGGAATCAAAAGCACGCATCAAATACATATTATCTCATATGGTCGGATAGTTCTATACCCTGACATCCTACCATTCATCCCCATTAAAACTCCATGTTAATGTGGTAAACAAACCATACCAAACCATCCCCAAAATCACACTGTTTTTGTGGGTATACCCCTCTGGTAATTTAACATAGCCATTGAACATGGCCATAGAAAGTTCGTTGATTTACCTATTAAAGATGGCGATTTTCCAGTTCGCTATGTACCATCCCCAGTGGTCGCTCGATGCATCGCTCGCCTCCATCGTCCCCACGAGCTTGGAGATTTGCCCCGTCAGAGTCTGGATGGAGTGAGTGTTGTTCTGGACCTACGACCGCGCGGTCGTTACCGGTCGTGAAGCGACATGATATATTTCTGGTGAGAAACCTGGTGAGTTCTGGTCCAGTTGGATTCAGAAATTACTGAAATTATCTGAACAATCATTGGATGATTCTGGGATCAAGTTGGACCCGGATTTTCTGAATTGTGGGATGATGGATTGCAGGATTTGTTTAATCAGTTCTGGGGTGATTTACTATGAGTTGATGAACAGTTTTTTTTTGGAGGGGGTCACTTTCCATAGCTACCCTCTGGTAAACGTTTACACAGCGAACTGGAAAATCACCATTTTTTATGGGAAAATACACTATTTCTATGGCCATTTTCAATAGCTATGTTAAATTACCAGAGGGTAACTCAGAAAATATGGATAACTACTATGGCAGCATTTTTGAGATTTCGAAATGTTGGCAACGCAGCAGTGAAATGATGTAGTAAAATAAATAGCCCTCGAAGGTGGTTTTCGACAGACTCCGCCCTCGCTTCAGCTGCTTCATATCGTTGCTTCCACGTGTGGAAAACACCAAACTTATTTGCCAAGTGCACACTTTTTCAAAGGTGGCTTTAACTCGTCACAGTCCAATGCAACTCGTGATCCTCTCCAACTGTTGGTTTCCAGATGTTTCCAACCACCAAGCAGTTTCAAACAACTGCGCCTGTCGACAATCCTGTACATAGAATGAATCTGCATCGCGCGTGGCCAATGCCTGGCCACTCGACACAGGTCAAAGAACTGTTGGCAAAATTCCATGGATATTTTTGGGTCATTCGGGTTTTCATGGGGTGTAATTATGGTAATCAAATATGGCAATTGAAAATAAGTAGAGAAATGGTTTTCAATTATGGTAATCAACCAATGGTAATTGGATATGATTACCATAATTGAAAACCATTGGCAATTATTTGATAACCATATATTTTATATATGACCAATGGTAATTATGCTTATCAACTATGTTCGTCTTCATGGTGTTTTCATTGGAAAGTCATCTGTAAATCTTGAGAGATGGTCTGGCTGCCAGGTTCAATGACCAAAGGTAATTCGCCAGCACAAAGAGCGAGCCAAGACTGCAACATGACTGCAACATGACTGCAATTTGTGACATCTTGTGATGATATTCTGCAAAAACAT